AATGAGGAAAACCTACCTTGCAGGGGCTGCTGCTGAGAATAAAATGAGAAAATCCTCAGAAAGCATTTAGAGCAGTTTCTAGAACATAACAATAATAAATGTTAGCTATTATTGTTATAAATGAGATACACAGATAAAATTGGAATGGACATTTTAGTAAGCATATATATTATGGTACTCACTTCCCAGATTGTGGCTATATTTTGTTTTGGGAGGCTGAAGTTCAAATGAGTAGTTTGGACCATTTTTCAAACACTGTTTAAAATGGTGCTATTCTGACTGGAGTGTATTCAGCTCCTATATGTTCTGAAAAATGTGCCAACCAAGGCGTTGCTACACCCAACCAATACATCTTGTACTCATCAATCATAAGGAGAGACTACGGGAAGAGATTTGTAACTAACATCATTGCCTTTAGATTTTCATCTTCACAATATACCTTTCCTGTTGATACTATCATTCTTCTTTCCATAAAAATTATCATATCTGTCCTCCATACTAGCTAATTTTGCTTACAGAAGAAAAAAATTAACCCATTTCTCAAAGAACTAAAAACAGAATTACTACTCAATCCATCAATTCCATTACTGGGTGTATACACAAAGGAAAATAAATTGTTCTACCAAAACACATATGTGGCAGGGCGTGGCTCACACCTGTAATCCCAGCACTTTGGGAGGCTGAGGCGCGGGGATCATGAAGTCAGGAGTTTGAGACTGGCCTGGCCAATATGGTGAAACCCCATCTCTACTAAAAATACAAACAGGCTGGGTGCGGTGGCTCGTGCATGTAATCCCAGAACTTTGGGAGGCCAAGGTAGGCAGATCACGAGCTCAGGAGATCAAGACCATCCTGACTAACAGGGTAAAACCCTGTCTCTACTAAAAATACAAAAATTAGCTGGGTGTGATGGCACACACATGTAGTTCCAGCTACTTGGGAGGCTGAAGCAGGAGAATTGCCTGAACCCAGAACGGAGGTTGTAGTGAGCCAATATCGTGCAACTGCACTGAAGCCTGGGCAATGGAGCAAGACTCCAACTCAAAAAAAAAAAAGGCATATGCATTCACACGTTCATCACAGCACTGTTCACAATATCAAAGACATGGCTAAGTGCCCATCAACGGTGGACTGGGTAAGGAAAATGTGGTACACGTGCACCATGGAGTACTACACAGCCATGAAAAAGAATGAAATCATGTCCTTTGCAGAAATATGGATGCAGCTGGAGGCCACTATTCTAAGCAAATTAATATAGAAACAGAAAACCAAATATCACATGTTCTCAATTAAAAATGGGAGCTAGACACAAAGATGGAAACAATAAACACGGGGGATTTCAAAAGCAGGGAGAGGCAGAGCAGGGGAAAGGGCTGAACATCCACTTATTGGGTACTAAGTTCACTACTTGAATGATGGGAATATTAGAAGCCCAAACTTCGGCATCATGCAATGTACCCATGTGACAAAGCTGTATGTGTTCTTCCTGGATCTAAAATTTTTTAAAAAATTAACTTCTTAATGTGATCCTCAATATCCCCACAATCTGGCTTTAGCCTATGTTTCCAGTTTCTGTTTCATTATTTTTATATCACAAACTCCATATTCTTATCGGACTTGATTATTCAGCTAAGTTACCATGCATTTTCATTTGTTCACTCATTCATTTATTCATTTTATTCAAATACTTTACTTTGCTGAAAACTTTGCTAAGAGTTAGGCATTAACGATGTTTTTTAAATGCCTAGCTTAGCTTTTATGGCACTCGTAATCTATTAACAGTAGAAGAGATATGTAAACAACTATCATATAACAGCAAAGTGACAAAATCAGTAACAGTGGGGACTTGCCTAAGAATTTCCATGTGAACCCTCAGGAATAAGCACTAGCTTTTGCTGGGGAAGCTGGAAAATGTTTCATAGATAACATGAACTTTGTCTCTGGTGTTAAATGATGAGGAGATTAAGTATTCAATAGGCAGATAATAGAAAATGTTTACCAGGCAAATAAAATTAAATAAACTCTTGATATAAAAGTACTATGACATCTGAGGAAAAGCAAGTACTTCGGTGGGTGTAAAGTATATTTGTGGGAAAAAAGGTGGTCATGAAGGTTGTGGATAGACTGAGAAGGGTTGTGTATGCTGTCATGGACCAAGGTGTCTCCCATTTTTGTTTTGCTCACCCAGCAAGTTCTTCCACTTTTCTTATAGTAACACATCTTGCTGTCCTTGCTATCAAAGCAGGTATCTGATCCAGGCTTGTCCAATCCAGGCCAACAGTGGCTCAGAATATGTGCACCTTTCTGAAGCAAGGCCAGGACAAAAACTTTCCCTGTGATTGGCACGATCATTTGAAGAAAGATGTGCACTCTGTGCGTGTGTGTGGCTAAGCAAGGGGCTGCCTATAATTATCTGCTCTGTAGAGAAGGTTTGTTTGCATTTGCAGAAAATGAGCCTACTTTAATTGCAGGAGGCACTTAAAAAAAAAAAAGAAAAAAGAAATGAGCTCACTATGAAAAAAGAGCAAGAAGACATGAGATACAAATAGAAAAAGAGTAAGTCCCAGGAATGTTGAATTCCATCCCAAAAAGGGGATATGGCCATGGTTCCTGGTACACTTCCTTCACTTCCTCAAGTGACCTGCAGTATCTCAGCCACATGGGCCAATGAACTCCTACTTGTTTCAGCAAGGTTAAGTTTGGTTTCGGCCATTTTCAATGGAAAGAGTCCTGATACATCTGCCATACCGATACATCTGCCATACTAAGAACTCTGTGGCTTTTTCTTTTTTTTCTTTGAGACAGTCTTACTCTGTTGCCTGGCTGGAGTGCAGTGGTGTGATCTCTGATCACTGCAACCTCTGCCTCCTGGATTGAAACAATTCTCCTACCTCAGCCTCCCAAATAGCTGGGGTACAGGCGTGTGCCACCATGCCTGGCCATTTTTTTTGTATTTTAGTAGAGATGGGGTTTCACCATGTTAGCCAGGATGATCTCAATCTCCTGAACTTGTGATCTACCCGCCTTGGCCTCCCAAAGTGTTGGGACTATAGGCACATGCCACTGTACCCAGCTAATTTTTGTATTTTTAGTGGAGATGGGGTTTCACCATGGTGGCCAGGATGGTCTCAGTCTCTTGACCTCATGATCCACTCGCCTTGGCCTCCCAAAGTGCTGGGATTACAGGCGCGAGCCACCATGCCCAGCCAAGAACTCTGTTTTCTGTGGTAAGGCAATTGGAGTCAGAGAGAAATTTTAACACGTGAAATGTGTTTAAGCAGGTGAGTGACAGATCAAAAGTATACTAGAAAAGCAGATTTAATGGACAGTACAGAAGATGGATTCAAGGAAGGCCATTTAGGCACTTCTCATGCCTTTCAAGAATGTGGTCCTTTATCTTTAGGGAATTTCTGACTACCAAAATAGTCCAGCTCACTTGACCCCTCTTCTCTAGTGCCTTTCTGATCTCATCAGACGGCATGAATGGTCCTTCATTCTGCATTCCCGCAGCGCTTCACTCGCGCCTTTGACATCCTACTTCTCAAACTTCAGTGTCTGTCACAATCACCTAGAGGCCTGTTAAAATCAGATCGCTGGGCCCTACCTTGAGAGTTTCTGATTCAGGAGGTCTGGAGTGGGACCTGAGAATTCTAACAACTTCCAGGTGATGCTGGACCTGTGGCCAGCTTTGAGAACTGCTGTTCTAACACATTTCATTGTAGCTGTCTTCTAGTTCACTTGCTTATCTATGTCCCCTCCTCCACTAAATATTCCTTATGGATATTCTTGTTTTATATTTTTTGAGATAGGGTCTTGCTCTGTCACTCAGGCTGGAGTGCAGTGGTGCAATCATGCTCACTGCAGCCTCAACCTCCTGGGTTCAAGGGATTCTCTGTCCCAGCCTCCTGAGTAGACGGGACTACATGTGTACACCACCATGCCCAGCTAGCTTTTCCATTTTTGTTTGGAAACAGTCTTGCTATGTTGCCCAGGCTGGTCTCCAACTCCTGACCTCAAGTGATCCTTCGGCTTTAGCCTCCCAAAGTGCTGGGATTACAGGTGTGAGCCTCCACACCCAGTCAAGGGTTTTCTTATTCATCTTTGTATGACCTTTAGTAGCTAACATAATGCTTTACACAAAATTGGTATTTGATACGTATTACTGTGTGATTATGGAGATAAACACCTTACCATCATAAATTCTCTCAGCATCCAAATAGAATCTCTCAAAAACTAAACTGTGTAGGCTGGGCATGGTGGCTCATACCTATAACCCCAGCACTTTGAGAGGCCGAAGCAGGTGGATCACAAGTTCAGATGAGACCATCCTGGCTATCACAGTGAAACTCCCTCTCTTTACTAAGAGTACAAAACATTATCTGGGTGTGGTGGCACATGCCTATAGTCCCAGCTACTCGGGAGGCTGAGGCAGGAGGACTGCTTGAACCCAGGAGGCAGAGGTTGCAGTGAGATGAGATCACACCACTACACTCCAGCCTGGGCAACAGTGCAAAACTCCCTCTCAAAAATAAAAAAAATAAAAAATAAATAATTAAGGCCCAGGAGTGGTGGCTCATACCTGTAATCCCAGCACTTTGAGAGGCCAAGGTGGTCGGATCACAAGGTCAGGAGTTCGAGACCAGCCTGGCCAACATGGTGAAACCCCATCTCTACTAAAAAAAGAAAACATACGACAGAAAGAAAATTAGCTGGACTTGGTGGCAGGTACCTGTAATCCCAGCTACTTGTGAGGCTGAGGCAAGGAGAATTGCTTGAATTGGGGAGGAGTAGGTTGCAGTGAGCTGAGATTGTACCACTGCACTCCAGCCCAGCAACAGTGTAAGACTCACTATTTTATTTATTTCAAAAATAAATAAAATAATAAACAAACAAACTGTGTAACTAGAGAAACAACCCAAGATAGAATATATCCTGACTTCCTTGGGGCTACCTAATTTTTGATTACGTCTTCTATCAGGGCAGGGTAGAGGTAGCATTACCTTAGGCATCCAGTGACGTTGTAGAATATGTCAAAATCGAGCAAACCATTGGCTTTTGGGTAGTCTCCTTCAGGCCACCCAGAAAACGGGATGATGATGTTCTCTGTTAGCGTAAGCAGTGCTTCTGTTATCATGAGATTCTTGAGTTTGTCATTAGATGACAAATTCCACAGCAAACCTAGAAAAGCACAGAGCTACCATGAAAACAGTACAGGGTGGGACCAAAATAACTGCTGATAATTTCAGTTATGGCCATCAACTCCAGGGGTATCACTAGTCCCAAAAAAATTTGGGGAAGGGGATTGGGGACAACCCCTTTCTCAACTGGAAGAACCCTGTTAGAACTCATTAGATAGTGATGGAGGCTGACCTGCATGAACAGTAAAAGAAAGGCTCAGGATACAAACTGTGCATGTTTAAATTAATCAGGTATCTAAATGAAAGCCAGACATAAGCATTTATTGCTATTTCTCTTAAAGGGCCCTACCACAAAGCTGACCCGACTGGGATAATGAAGTCTGGGCTCACCAATGGGGAGGATTGAAATGGTCCTATTGTAACTAAAACTTCAACATTTTTAAAGAGTCATATTTTTTCTCCCTCAGATACACATGGGAAAATATCTCCTCTGCTTCCTTTCCTACTAGCTGTAACTTTCACCTGATGTTGTGCCTCCCAGTAAGAGCAGGGAGGGCCTGCAGAAAGCCTTTCTCCACACCTGTCAACAGGAAGCTGATCAACATATCCAATTAATGTTACTGACTGCTACCCAATGACAGAATCATGTCCTCCAGCAATTTACTCGGGCTAACTCATGTATTATTAGTCTGGCAGTGAAGGAGAGACAAGAGCATCTTACCTATCTGCCAACTTGGGTGGCTTAGGTATTGCTCGAAAATTAATACCCTATTTACTCATTAAATTTTCTTTATCCTCTTGAATCCACATTAAAGAGAAAGACCACATGGGCCAATCCAGAGGAAATTGAGATAATAGCATATTGTACTTTCCAAGGCATATACTGTGACATCGAGACTGAGGCTGGGTACTGAGATAGAATAAAAGTGGCATATACATTTAGGATTTATTTTTCTTTGAAAATTGGAGCTCAAATACTTCTGATTCAGTTGAAGAGAGATTGTACACCAATTGCTTGATATTCCAAGGACTCCCAGCAGGTGTAATGTTACATCGTCATCGTCATCTTGCGTTTTTTTTTTTTTTCTGAAACTGAGTCTCGTTCTATTGCCCAGGCTGGAATGCACTGTGGTGATCTAAGCTCACTGCAACCTCTGCCTCCCGGGTTCAAGCAATTCTCCTGCCTCAGCCTCCCAAATTGCTGGGATTACAGGTACCCACCAGCATGCTCAACTAATTTTTTAATTTTTAGTAGAGACAGGTTTTCACCATGTTGGCCAGGCTGGTCTCAAACTCCTGACCTCAAATGATCTGCCCACCTTGGCCTCCCAAAGTGCCGGGATTACAGCCATGAGCCACTGCCTGGTCCACCTCATCATCTTTCATACCGCAATAGGTTATCCTATCTCACTAATGCCCAGGAAAAGGAGAAGAGGGGTAGAAAGAGAAGGGATGGCTTTTCCCTTTCTACCCTAACCTCTTCACGCCCAGTCAACAATTCCTACTTCTTTTTTTTCTTCTGAGATGGAGTGTTGTTCTGTCAGCCACGCTGGAGTGCAGTGGTGTTGTCTAGATCACTGCAACCTCTGCTTCTCAGGTTCAAGCAATTCTCCTGCCTCAGCCTCCTGAGTAGCTGGGATTACAGGCACACCACCAGGCCTGGCTAATTTTTGTATTCTTACTACAGATGGGGTTTCACCAGTTCAACAGGCTGGTCTCAAACTCTTTACCTGGTGATCCACCCGCCTTGGCCTCCCGAAGTGCTTGGATTACAGGTGTGAGCCACTGCGCCCAGCCCAGCAATTCCCACTTCTTAAATTGACTATGCGGTCTATGCAAAGGAAAGAGGAAGCATGGGTACTCAGGACAGGCTCCCTTATGAACACAGCACATGTGGCGGACTTGGCTGAACTATGGGGCGATCATCACCTCTGAAATAACAGTCTGTATAGTTAAAGCTTGGTAATTACTCAGTATACTTATATTTGGTCCAACCAATCAGAACACATTAGGCTTCATGCAGTCTTTTGGGCTTAAACAGTTTGCTTCTGCTGTGCACAGGTAGCTGCTTTTTGAAACAGTAACCAGATTTCCACTGGAGCCTACACGTAGCTTCCATTAGATACAGTGACACCGGGTCTGATGTCTTGTAAGGACTCGATTTATGGCTTATAGGAGGTCTTCTCCTGATCAAACTAGCATTTGGGTTAGTCAGGAGGAGTGCCCTCAGCCAAAGGTTTCGCAACATAATGACTTCATTCTTCCTGCTTTTCCTCAAGAGGCCCTGGAAGAGGGACAGATAAAATCAAACTCAGAAGGTGGCTGAAAACAATTTAAAGGCAAGTCTGAGGTTGGATTTTGGTTACTAAGCTACAGAAGCAAGTTAGAAAGGAGAGAAAAATGAAGGGGGAAGAAAAGGATTCTTTAGTTCTAAATAAGCAAACAAATTAATAGTCTCTGTCTGCCAGAAGCTTAAGAACGTGAAGTATAATGACATTTCCTCCTTTTAAAAAGGACCACACAGGGCACTCAAAGGAAAAGTACACGTTACAATAAAAACCAGAGAGGATTAATTGGAACAAAGGGAGTGGAATTTTCCTGCAACAGTCAGTATCCTTTAGAGCTTGGCATGCTCCATTATTTCTACAAAAGTCTATGATTTTGGAAGTTTCAGTATAATTTTAGAATTTCTAATATAGGATTTTGCATAGAAATGTCATGCCTGTCAAATTTCTGGGTGGCATGAAAGCTGCGAAAGAACTAAGATGTTTGATAGAGATTCAGAAGCTTATACACACACACCCTCACATAAAATCAGTGAGTTACCAACTACTAACTGGGAAAATACGTGCAATATGAGATAAAGTGTTAATATTCTTAATATATAGAGTTCTTATAAATCACTAAAAAAATGAAACACCAGTAGAAAAATTGGGAAAGTACATAACACAGAACCAACAGATATTATTAGGAGCTAATGTACACAGGAATCCATGGTCTCTAGTCACTAAAGAAATGCAAATTTAAATAGCTAGATATCATTTTCTATGACTAGAGGAAGCAAAACCAGAACCAGAGTGGAAATTCTAAGGAAGGAGATTTTGGCTCACTGAAAGTATAAACTTCCAAGAGAGCTTTGAAGAAAACAGAAGGACCTACTTGAAAGATCCAGTTCTGGCACTGAAGGGAATAAAAATTAGCTTATCCCATATCAGAAAGTAGACCAGGGCTTTTACCCTGAAATTAAAATGTTAGACTAGATGAGCAGTTTCCAAATGACAAAACAGACTCACAATCCTGGGCCATACCCCAAATTTGCTGAGCCGGAATCTCAGGATGGAGTTCAGAAACTTTTATTTTTTGAGATGGAGTCTTGCTCTGTTGCCAGGCTGGAGTGCACTGGCATGATCTTGGCTCACCGCAGCCTTCACCCCCTGGGTTCAAGTGATTCTTCTGCCTCAGCCTCCCAACTAGCTGGAATTACAGGCACGCGCCACCACACCCAGCTAATTTTTGTACTTTTAGTAGAGACAGGGTTTCACATGTTGGCCAGGATGGTCTCGATCTCTTGAACTCATGATCCGCCTGCCTCGGCCTCCCAAAGTACTGGGATTAGAGGCGTGAGCCACCATGCCCAGCCAGGAACTTATATATATATATTTTTTTTTTTGAGACGGAGTTTCGCTCTTGTTACCCAGGCTGGAGTGCAATGGCGCGATCTCGGCTCACCGCAACCTCCGCCTCCTGGGTTCAGGCAATTCTCCTGCCTCAGCCTCCTGAGGAGCTGGGATTATAGGCACGCGCCACCATGCCCAGCTAATTTTTTGTATTTTTAGTAGAGACGGGGTTTTACCGTGTTAACCAGTATGGTCTCGATCTCTTGACCTCATGATCCACCCGCCTCGGCCTCCCAAAGTGCTGGGATTACAGGCGTGAGCCACCGCGCCCGGCCCAGGAACTTATATTTTTAAAAAATGATTCCACTTTTGGGCATGAGGAAACCAATGGACTGGATGATTCTGAATAGATGTCCTTTCAATGATCAGATTCTGGATTATGTAATATAATATTTATGATTTGGGTTTTCATGTGTCTCATCTTTAACAACTTATTCATAGATAACTCCACTATCCGGAAATTTATTCTCAACTGTGATGTTTGCAAAAGACAGCTAACCAGAAAAGGGATCTTAGATATTACAACTTATGTTTAATAATAATGACCTTGGTTAGGCTCACACCTGTAATCCCAGCACTTTGGGAGACTGAGGCAGGAGGATCATGAGGTTAAGAGTTCAGGACCAGCCTGGCCAATATGGTGAAATGCCATCTCTACTAAAAAAATAAAAAAAATTAGCCAAGCATGGTAGTGTGTGCCTGTAGTACCAGCTACTCAGAAGGCTGCCACAGGAGAATTGCTTGAACATGGGAGGTGGAGACTGCAGTGAGCCAAGATTGTGCCACTGCACTCTGGCCTGGGTGACAGAGTGAAAGTGTCTCAAAACAATAATCATAACCTCTAGGACAGAAAATATAGGAATTTAACAAATCTGCACTAACACTTGGGCAGCAAAACTTATAGTTTTATGATTAAATAAATCCCTATCTTCAATGAAAAAGAATGAGAGGGAAAAGATGATGACAGTGACCACTCAGACAAGGACAAGAAAGAAAACTGGTTCTTTCTAACTGTGTTTTTCAAAGTGGTCAGAGAGTGGGAGGAAATTTTTTTTTACAATTTCCCTTGCATAGATATACTCCTCCTTTCACCTAAATTTTGCAAATATTACCTGGAATATCAGATTATTGAAAAGGGCATGTATTCCAAGTTGTATATAAACCCAGGGTATCTTGTTACACGTTATGAATGCAGAATAAAATAACATACAAATACCTAAAGAAAGTGCAGAATACATATTTTATAATAAAACGTTTTGAGTACTTTATTAAAATACAGCAATCCAATTAAGTACTTCCATAAAATATGCAGAGATTAACATGCAGTTTCAACATATTTCACTGATAATCACCCCTGCTGTACTCTTACCATGACTTGTCTGTTTTAATCCAAGTTATATCCTGCTCACCCCGCAAATGCTCACTACTCAGTGACCTTGAAGATGAACTTCTGAGACTAAGATGTGCTGTTCTCATTTCAATTAAGGTGACACTGCCACACTCACTGAGCAAGGGAGAAAGAACAATCTCACAGGGAAAGGGGGAGTAGGGGTGTCTTTGATCCTGAAGTTCTTTCATTGGAAGAGAAGATCCCAGGCTAGTACTGGAAATGGCAGAAAAGTCAGTGAGTTTAGATTCTTTCCCAGTGATGTTCAACTTCTTATTCATGTGTAGAAACAGATGGTTCATTTTGTATATTTTGGCTAGAAAAATCAAGGTCTTATCTTAAAACACACCTGACTCTCTTATTGGTGTGTATTCTGGGTATTTTCAGGTCAGAAGACTCTTTCTCACATTTGGTCAGACAGCCACAGTTGTTGAGAAACTAACAGGAGCCTCACATTTCATTCTGCAATTAAATACACAGGCACAGCAGAAGTGGCAACCTAATATTAAAGGATACAAAGGTAGCTCAGAGAAGCCCCTCTCTTGAAAACTCTGCTGAAAGTTGGGAGGGAACTGAGAATAAAGTAGATGGCAATTGAAATGCTTCAGATAAGTTGAGCCAACTATTGAAGGATGAGTGGGCTCCCCGGGCAGTCTAAGTGTGCAAAAGGATTCTACTCCAAGATAGCAGCAGGGACAGACACAAGACAGAAGACAGACCTGGAGCAGACCAGTGGGTTCTCTAGGATTTCAGAACTTGGGTTCGAAGAAGATGAGAGGAGACCCTGCTGCCAGTGATCACCAGACTCACATCACAACATCTTTGTGTGGATACTAGAGTATGGGCTTCATCTCATGGGCAGCAGGGAGCACAGTGGGACAGTATTTTTATTAGAAAGACATCACTAGAAGCAGAATGGAGGACAGGCTGGCAATGTGCAATACTGAATCTCAGTGGCTAGGTAAGAGGCTACTACTGTGGGAGTCAAGTGAGAGATGAAGACAGCTTGAACCAAGGCAGAGACAACAAGAGAGAGGAAGGGTCAAAGAAGAATGAGACTCTGATCAGATTCTCAAAGACAGGACCCTTCTCAAAAACTATACAAATGAGTCATCATATGCCCCAAAAGAAGTAGGTGGGATGACAGCAAAACACTCAGATACTACTAGGGTAAAATCTAGGCTTTGTTCTTTACTGGTTATGCAACCTTGAGCAATTTACTTAACCCCTCTGAGTCTCACACTGATCATATGTAAATCACCAGCTGTGCTCCCACCTCTTATAGAGTTGTCTGGAGAAACAGGGATAAAAAATACAAAGCTCTAGCTTAGTGACCAACACATAATGGGGGGAGCTCAAAGAAAAAGAAAAAAGGTCTAAGAAACAGACCACTGAGATTCACACATACACTTACTTTCTTTGTGTTTCTAAACAAAGATATAAACATGTCTATATGAGGTTAACAATTTATTTCTGAGGCCCAGAAAGCCCTTATTTAGCTCTTCTATTAGTAGAGCCAAAGAGAGTAATTTAGAAGGATTTGTATCAAATGTTCAAATGTCTGTTTGGTTCAATTAGCATGTACTCAACACCCTCCAGTGGGGATGTTTGGCTTATACTAGAAATCCTGGGTGTTGCACAATCAACTTCCATTCATCAACTCTATAGATGACCTAATGATGCCTGAATGGTTTCTATGGCATCAACATCACAGAATTTCTCTGACGTTAGTCTCCTATTGCCTATGCAGGAGAAGAGGAAATATGTTCAATGGCTTGTTCCCTTGACACACACACACACACACTCTCTCTCTCTCTCTTACTTCCCAAGCTAACTACCATGTATCCTAACTCCAAATCACTCTATCTTCCAAGCTTCCTCTAAATGGCAGCAGCCATGGCAGCACCTAGCTTCTTTATGCCTCTTTTCCTTGCTAGTGATGTTCATTTTGCCAGGAATAACTTTCATTCTCCTTCAAAATACCAACCGAAAGTCCATTCCTCTTTTAAGGTCCACGATGAAACATAACCCCTTCAGGAAGTTTCCTGACTATAAAATTAGTGGATGATAAAACAAAATCCGATATGGGTGTCGTGGCATGTGTCTGTAGTCACAGCTCCTCAGGAGGCTGAGGCAGGAGGATCTCATGAGCCCTGGAGACCAGCCTCGGCAGCATAGTGAGATCCCCATCCTTTAATAACAAACGAACAACAACAACAAAACAAAAAACAAAATCCACACCCTCCCTAGGCTGTGATTCTCTGCCTGACTTCTGAAAGCTGCTCTGTAAATATTGGTTGAATAAATGAAACCACTTTATTTTAACACAAATCACAGATGTGAAAAGCAATCCCTCATGGGACAGGATGGAACACCAGCAAGAGGGTAGCATGGCACCTCACATCGTTTTATAAAATCAAAATATATCAGAATTTAAAATATAACATTTAGCAACATGTATACAGCTAGAGGTCATTATCCTAAGCAAATTAATGCAAAGACAAAAAATCAAATACCACATACTCTCACTTACAAATAGGAGCTAAACACTGGGTATACATGAACATAAATAGGAAAACAATAGATACTGGGGTCTAATAAAAGAGAGAGGAAAGGATGGGGCAAGGGTTGAAAAACTATCTACTGGGTACTACGCTGAGTACCTGGGTGACGAGACCATTTGCATCCCAAACCTCGGCATCACGCAATATACCCATGTGACACACTGCACATATAACCCCAAATCCAAAATAAATATTTTAAAATGTGATATTTTAAGATATAAAGTAGAGATAACATAGTAACAAAATCTGTATAGAAAAAGTACACCTATTATAAAACTAAATGAAGAAGGTAGAAGAGCAAACTATATTCAATTAAAACAATATTTAGGGAGTACTTCCTTTAAAAGTATTTACCCCAACACTGTCAAATATTATACCTAGCAAAACAAAACAAAACAAAAAAACAAAAACAAAAACAAAGAAAACCCAAAAAACCTCTGCTATGATATATATTTTCCGAGCGCTGGTTTCCTCATCTGTAAAACTGAGATATAAAACCTGATAATACCTAGAAACCCATGGTTTTTGTGGTAATTAAATTAGAAAATGTCCATATGTCACTGAGACATTGAAGATGTTTAATAAAAATTTACTGATGATTGCACTCAGTAATACCTCCTGCAATCTTTTTAAATTGTTTTGAGTCAAGGTCTCACTCTTTTGCCCAGGCTGGAGTGCAGTGGTGCAATCACAGCTCAGTGGACCAGCCTCATGGAGTCAAACAATCCTTCCACCTCAGCCTCCCGAGTAGCTGAGACTGCAGGCACAAACCACTACCATGCCTGGCTAATTCTTTGTTTTTTGTAGAGACAGGGTCCAACTATGTTGCCCAGGCTGGTCTCAAACTCCTGGGCTCAAGGAATTCTCCTACCTTGGCCTCCCAAAGCGTGGGATTACAGGTGTGAGCTACTGCACCCAGTCCCTCCTGTACTCTTTGTACTGTGTGCAGGGAGCACAAGTGGAGAGCTGATGGTGACGGCAGGGAGAGTGGTTTATTCTGGGACAGCAATGAATCATTTTCTCCTTTCTCATATGACTATTCATTTAAATGAAACTAGCTCCCTCTCTTCATGCTTAGAGGATATATTACTAACATTGCTGCTTTAATTCTATCTGATTATTCAATCTCTCCAATTCACTGCATAAAAAGGAGATATTTATTTGCTCAAATCAGTGTTTGAACAAAAATGTGAAGTAGAGAATTAAAAATGAACATAACCAGTTACTTTTTTCTTTTCTTCTTTCTTTAGGATTACAGTGAGCTAAGGACGTGGTACTGAGAGCAGTCCAGGTGATGGAAAGATTGGAAAAAATAGTTTCTAATATTTGATTAAATTGATCTTCCACATTGGAAAACTATGTGACACTTCATTTCGTTTCTTTTTCTACAGATTCAGCAAGCTGGTTGTTGAGTAAATAATAAAAACAATGGGGTATGGTTCTTGTCAATTTCTTTTGAAGATTTGGGCCTCCTGGATAACAGTGAAACCCTATGCGTTCTTAAACTACAAAGCGGGCTGTTAGTGAATTTAAGCAGAATTTTGATTGCAGTAAGTCTTGTCAAGAAGTTGTTTGAAAGACATTTGAGTCAAAGGTGCATAGAGTTTCTAATTAAGAATATTAAGCAAAAGCCACAGAATATTTTCCCCTTCAGAAAAACACAATTCAGGTTGGGTGCAGTGGCTCATGCGTGTAATCCCAGCATTTTGGGAGGCTGAGGCGGGCAGATCATGAGGTCAGGAGTTTGAGACCAGCCTGGCCAATATGGTGAAACTCCGTCTCTACTGAAATTTCAAAAATTAGCTGGGTGTGGTGGTACATGCCTATAATCCTAGCTACTCAGGAAGCTGAGGTAGGAGAATTGCTTGAACCCGGGAGGTGGAGGTTGCAGTGACCGAGATTGCACCACTGCAATTCAGCCTGGGTGACAGGGCAAGACTGTCTCAAAAGAAAAAAACCAGGAATTCAAATATGGCTCAAATCTAGAGTCTAAGCCAGCAGGTAACAAATGTTCCTTTAAAGCTACCTCTAGCATTACAATGAGCCCATCAGTCATTTGCTCTAGGAAACTTAAGAAAATGAGATAACATGAGGCATCTGGCTGGGGTGCAAATGTGTCACATTCTTCAATGTTCCGTAAGCACTACCTGTTATTTGCTTTTTAGTCTCCAAGTCTCTGGTTTGCTTCAGCACCTGGAGAAGCCGAGGTACCCCATTTAGTTCAGCCACCTCCAATTTGTTGTCATTGTCTTCAAATACTAAGTTTCTCAAGGCCCCACACGCAGCTCGCTGAACATCTTCATTCGGAACTTTCAGGAGCTGCAGAAGCTTGGGGATGCCACGAAGCTGGTTAACCTAAGGAAGAAGTAGATGCATATTTCTAATATTAATTTTGAGGTGGCATCAAGATCAATGTAACACAAACAGATGAAGTTCACTGATGCTGATTATAATCTTTCTTTATCAATAACTATGTGTAGCACAAGGGAGACTCTTGTAGAACGTACCCCAGTTATAAGGCAGTATCTGTTATCAAGGAACTTAGAGTAAATTTGGGAAGTTAAGACTGAAACCTATGAAATGAGTGAAGGGGAAGATAGATTGATAAAGGGTACATGGATATTAGTGAAACAGAGTTAAGTGATAAGAGTTTGGAGCATAACAAAAATGAAGGGAATTGGGAATCTAGGCAGTAAGAAAAGTTTTATGACAGAATTCAAAATTATATAAGTTTTTTCCTAAGATAAAACTTTATAGTTCATATAAAATGAACAGTATCACCAGTATCACCTTCATCAATAGTAGAAGTAAAAACGCATTTACCATGTCAACCTCAGTAGTAATGCAAACTAACCCTAAATTCTTATAATCAACTGCATTGAGTATTTTAAAAGACTTATAAAACTTATGCAAGTACTTTAAGCAGATAACATAACTTTACACTTTAACATGTGTTATTTAAAAAATACTCCTTCTATTCAAATACATAAGAAAGCGCATGCTATTAGAGAAAGGGCACAACCAGGAATGGGAAACAAATTGATGGTTTTAATTCTAAAACTTATGGGTGCGTAAGAAGGGGCCAAATAATCCTAATTTTAGCAAGGAGATTTTTTGTTTTAGTCTGAAAATATTATCTAAAGAAATCAGGCCAACTGTAATCCTAGCACTTTGTGAGGCTGTGGTGGGTGGATCATCTGAGGTCAGGAGTTCGAGAACAGCCTGGTCAACATGGCAAAACCCTGCCTCTATTAGAAATATAAAAATTAGCTGGGTGTGGTGGCACATGCTACCACGTAATGGAGCTACTCGGGAGGCTGAGGAAGGAGAATCACTTGAACCCGGGAGGCGGAGATTGCAGTGAGTTGAGATTGCACCACTGCATTCCAGCCTGTGGAACCCGAGACTCCATTTCATATATATATACATTAGAAGGTAGACACAGGGTGGGTGAAATAAAATATTAGGTTATAGACTGAAGGCTTTCCTTCTCATAGGCTTCTATTCACATCTGATTTTGAAACTTTTAAACTGGCAAGAGCTGTTGGTAACGATCTCATTTTCACTATCTTAATGCAAAAATTTTGGAGGAGATAAGTTTTTATGAACAGACATGAGCTTCCCTTTTGAATGGAGTTTGTCATTTAGGAAGGACACCCTAACCGCCAGCAGTTTACGCTCCAGGGAGAACTGCACACCTGGCCTGGGGCAAATTTGCAAATTTTCTATGTATCAGGCTCTAGCCTCCCTTTCATAGACAGATCAATGGTATTTAGGACACTGCCCTCTAATATTACATATTCCTTTGACAGGACTGGAGAAAAGACTAGAAAGGCAGAAATAAATATCAGAATTATAAAATAATCTAAATAATAAAATAATAGAATGATAATAATCACAATCATCATAATAAAGCAAAAATTACAACCCCTCTCCCTCCTACTTCTAACATTAAGAAGTGTCAGTATAGGCTGGGTGCAGTGGCTCACGCCTGTAATCCCAGCACTTTGGGAGGCTGAGGTGGACGAATCATGAGGTCAAGAGATCGAGACCATCCTGGCCAACATGGTGAAACCCCATCTCTACTAAACACACACACACACACACACACACACACACACACACACACACACAAATTAGCTGGGCACGGTGGCGCGTGCCTATAGTCCCAGCTACTCGGGAGGCTGAGGCAGAATTGCTTGAACCCGGGAGGCGGAGGTTGCAGTGAGCCAAGATCGCACCACTGCACTCCAGCCTGAGGGAGAGAGTGAAACTCTATCTCAACATAAAATAAAAAAAGTGTCAGTATAGTGTTAGGAGTTTTATATACATTATCTAATTAATAGATTGCAAGAAACTTAAAAAGAAAGTACTCTTGATTCCTTTAAGGCTTCACTGGCCGTAATAAGGAATAATACTTCCACTTGCTAGCTCCCTTCTGAGGAGACATTTGCAGAACAAGAGACAGGTGGGAGAGTGGCTACAGCAATTTTGTTGGACTGTATCTAAAGCCATTTAAATACATGATAAAGATTTCTTAGCTGTCAAGTAAATCTAGTCCAACAGAGTATCTATTTGATCACTTCATCTATTCCCATTACAGGCTGAGTATTCCTATCTGAAAATCTGAACTCTGAAATACTTCAAAGTCTGAAACTTTGAAAGCTCACATAATGCTCCAAGGGAGTAATTCAAAATACTTCTGGCCCCAAGCATTTCGGATAAGCAATACTTAACCTGTATTACACTTCCTTAAAAGCAAAAACAAAAAACAACAACAACAAAATGCCAATTTATGTTAAAACAATCTGTAATTCATGTTTCCCTAATTCCCTAGTTTTAATTTCATGGTAAGGTTTTAAGGTAAATTCATACTTTTTTTTTTTTTGAGACGGAGTCTCACTCTGTCGCTCAGGCTGGAGTGCAGTGGCGCAATCTTGGTCCATTGCAACCTCTGCCCCCTGGGTTCAAGGAATTCTCCTGCCTCACTCAGCCTCCCTATAGCTGGGATTACAAGTGTGCGCTACCACGCCCAGCTAAGTTTTGCGTTTTTAGTGGAGACAGGGTATTGCGAAGTTGGCTAGGCTGGTCTTGAATTCCTGACCTCAAGTGACTTCCCCACCTTGGCCTCCCAAAGGGCTAGGGTTACAGGCATGAGCCACCACGCCCGGCTGGCTTCCTCCTTTTAATAAGTTAAATTGCAGAATGAAAGGCTTTGACTGGCAAAATAGCACTGTGGGATACATATCCATGTCTTCTGAGTGAGATCTGTTATTCTGTTACCATGTCACATTGCCTGCCTTTAAGTTTTTTGAGAAAATATGTTTACAATATAAATTCATACTTTTATAAGCTTCCTAAATGCCAGATAGACCAAATCTTCCCAGTAACAGTATACATAACAGATGCAAAAAGAAAATCCTATTGTCCTGAGGTACTTTAGCAGCTTTAGAAATATTTTATTAACTTAATTCAGAAGTTGCTTTCTTCAAAATACGATGGGAAGTGGCTTACTAGGCATACTGCAATTCAAGCTGCAATGACAGAATTAGTACAGGTAACATTACGGAAGCTTGCCCAGCTCAGACCTGCTCCCTTACCCTGTCACCTTTATCACCTGGGCTTTCAGCACTTGCTCTAGCCCGGAAAGAGAGAACTACAGACGCACCAGTGCTCAGATAAAGGCTGAAATCCGGCTATAGCTCTATTTACTGTAGAACTTGACTCCCTAGTGTCTGGCACTTATCCCAAGTTTAAAAATAGACTTTAGTTACTTTCATCCATTTTATCAAGCAAATGGATATAAATCCTGCTGAATGCAAGAAGTTAATGACCTTCTCCTTGCACTGAACTAGAAGATGGTAGGTGATGAATCCTATCCGCATTAGGACCAATGTCAAATATGCTGCTCTTAACATCCAGGGAAGAAGCTGGGACCAGAAGGGTTGGTTGAGTTTCCCATTATACTGAAACCTCGGGGTATTTTCCCTCTTTTGGGAAAAGGAAAAAAGAAACAGACTACCATGAATGTTTCAGAACTTCAAAAAAGTGCTCGTTTGAGTTGGTTTCTAAATACATGAAAGGCCAGTCACATATGAGAATTTTAACTCTCTCTGAGGCTTTATTCTGATTCTCTTCCCTGCTAATCATAAAATAAGTAAATGACGAGGACTTCTGGTTGCAAATAAGCACCAGGGACACACCGCCTCTGCTGTGGCGAAGGCGCTCTCTGGCCCTGGAGCCTCAGCTCTCATTTCTACCTGTCTGGAAGGTTCTGCCCACTCTGCCTTTCCTCCTGCAAAGCCCTAATCATCCTGTGGGATCCAGCTCAAATGTCACCTCCCCTATGAAATGTCACTCCCTTTCTCTGCTTTCCCTCCCATTAGAATTAATCACTCCCTGTAAACCGGCATAACCTTTCTGGAAGGCAAGCGGCAATATGTGTCAAAACTTTTAAAACATTCACTTCTAGTAGCCTTTATTGAGAAATAATGTGAAATGCAGACACATACTAACAGGCAAAAATAGTGACTACATCATTTCTAATAGTAGAAAATAAGAAATCACAAACATCCAGCAACGAGAAAGACCGGTTGATGGTCGTCACAAAGCCACATGTTGAGGTATCCACGGGAGAGGCAGAGCTGACAGACACTTTATTAGCCATACAGTTCCCTCATTAGTCACATGTGAATTATTGTGTAAGATGAGCAATTACCAAAAGAAAGGGATGGAGGAAGATTTACCAAGCAAATGGAGAGCATAAAAAACCAGGAGTTGCATTCCTAGTCTCTGATAAAATAGACTTTAAACCAAGAAAGATCAAAAGAGACAAAGCAGGGCATTACATAATGGTAAAAGGATCAATGCAACAAGAAGAGCTAACCATCCTAAATATATACGCCCCAATACAGGAGCAACCGGATGCATAAAGCAAGTTCTTAACGACCTATAAAGAGACTTAGACTCCCACACAATAATAGTGGGAAACTTTAACATGCCACTGTCAATATCAGACAGATCAACCAGACAGAAAATTAACAAGGATATCCAAGACTTGAACTCAGACCTGGAACAAGCAAACCTAATAGACATCTACAGAACTCTCCACCCCAAATCCATAGAATATACATTCTTCTCAGCACCACATCACACCTACTCTAAAATGGACCACATAATTGGAAGTAAATCACTCCTCAGCAAATGCAAAAGAATGGAAATCTTAACAGTCTCTCAGACCACAGGACAAACAAATTAGATCTCAGGATTAAGAAACTAACTCAGAACTGCACAACTTCATGGAAAATGAAAAACTGACTCTTGAATGTTGACTGGATAAACAATGAAATGAAGGC